ACAATCAATCGCTGCCGATAATTTATCGCCAAAAAAGTTATCACAATCGGTATTATCGCTAAAGATAACTTATCGAGGATGGTGAAAATCGATATTATCGCTGTCGATAACTTAAGTTATCACGGTCTATCATCGATATTATTACTGTCGATAACTTATCGCGGTCGGTAAAGAGTGCGCATCAGAACTTACTTTTTGACTATGCCGGAATTTTAAAGTGATCCAGAACCGGCCCTACTTATCTACTAGACAACGACGTGAATAACGTTAACAATAATCAATATTAATTACAATTTTTTTTTTCAATAAAAAAGAAAACGTAATAGCCACGCCAAGTTTTTCAAGTTTCAAAACATTACAATTAAAATTACTCAATCGATTTTGATGTGATTATTTATTATATTTCTTAATTTTCAACACAGTGTAGTTTCACTTTTTCACATCTTCTTAAAGTTGATCTTTTTTAGATATAAAAAATAATTTTTGAATTTTGTAAACAATTGAAAACTATTTTAAATAAAATTAATCTTTTCAACTTCAATAAATACGAAATGCAATACTTGGCATTTCATGATTTCACGCCTTTCTGTAATTTTTCAAATGACATACATTTACGAAAATAGCATTTTTAGAACAGAGATTATCGTCCTCGTCATTTAAACTTGGCGCACAGTTTTGTACACTGAGAAAAAAGTTTACATCATACAAAAAATATTTTATTCGATCATTAACATCGAAATTTCAAATAGTCGCAATAAAATATTTCTTCGAAATTATGAATATTTTATTGAAATCATTTTACTTACTCAAAAGAATAAAATGTCATTTGTTCTCATTCTTGTCGTTCCCTTGAAAATTTGTTTTCAAACTTTTCGCAACATTGAAACAAAAGACAAGATGGGTTTTTGATAACACTACTATTAGTCTGAATAAAATATTATCTTGAGAATATAAAGTTTCTTTTATTGATTGGATAAAAAATTCTTTCATTTAACGAAAATTTTTTCTCAGTGTACAGTCCGTGGGGCTGTTTTTGGTATGGTTTCACGTATTTTTGTACGTCAAATAAATTGTTTGTATTGATATTTACAATTCTTGCACTCTTTTCTCTAATGCTTTTTTTTCTCAGAAGAACATATGAACACAAATATGTATAAACAAGACAAACCAAATGAGTATAAAAATACCCCCTGTAGATACACTCCCAAGAATGAGTAAACCCGTATTCATGACTAAAAAAGTAAATTGTTCATTTAATTGTTTATTATTTGCAATTTATTAAATATGAATGGGATTGTAAGTTCAAAGTACGACGCCTCTGTCAAAAATGGATGAATTTAGATAATTTAGGACTCAATCAAAAGCTTATTTTATTCTTCACATCGGAAAACAACAATATAATTAAATTAATTACTTTATCATATTTAAAAATGAAGATAAAAATGTGCACTCATCTTTCACTAGATTTTAGAAGTGTCATGGCGGATACCGCTGTCATCAGCTGTCACCGAGAAAATGATTTATTTCACAAATAACTACTGTGCCTATACTGTAAATCGTTGTTTTCCGATGTATATACTATTGTTCGGAATATTAAAAAAAATATTTTAGAATAAAAAAACGAATAAATAAAACACAGTTTCGCGAGAAAAATTTCAGGTGATCATTCACAGAGTTGTATTTTTTCCATTCTCAACAGGTGGCGCAGCAATGGTTTCTAAAAGGCATGGAATGATTATTGATTTTTACGACAGTGCGTATACAAATTACTCAGGGCCCTAAGACAAGTGACAAAGAGCGTTATATCTTCTGTCGCAGTCTTATTCATTCCATCTTTCTGCACATAAAAAAGTATGAGTAGAAGTAAGAAAGCCTCATGTTAGTAGAAAGAGACATACGACAATCGGCAGCGAGTTCTGGCACTTCGCCGGCAAGCTCTATCCCCTCCCTTCGAACCCGAGCGAGTAACTTATAATTTATGAATATAAACAATAGGAGAGTTAATGTATCAGCTCTGCAGACAGAGCAATACTCGATTTTTAATTTGCCAAACCGAGTTGAAATCCAGCCGCAGCCAACTTTTTTTTCTCTTTTTTTTTTTAATGATATACAAGCGTTATTTTAGCATGCCAATATTAGTTATAAATAATAATTTTTTTTATTAATTACTCTTCCAATTTATAGCGGAAGAGTAAGAAAGTTATTAAAAAGTTTAAAAAAACTTGTTTTTATGTCGCTACAAAAGAGGCAGCAGTTTTTTTGAATAATAATTATAAAACATGAAGAGCACTTACAACAATTTGTGACGAGTTCCGGCACATCGCCGGAAAGCTGGATACCCACACTCCATACCCAAGCAAGCAGCTTAAAATAATAAACACAAAACATTTGTATGAAGATGTGCTAGCTCCGTGGTCAGAGCGCCAGTTTTTTATTTTGCCGAACAGGGTTCAGACCCAGTTACAGAAAGATTTTTGTTACATTTTTTTTTTTGTTAAAATTGCATGTAATTGCAATTTTCGGATGCCAAAATTAATTTTAAATATCAATTTTAATTTTCTCTATAATTATTTTTCTAATCAATGACGGAAGAGCAATAAAAAATTAAAATCGTGCAGAAAAATTTACCTTTATATAGCTACATTAGTTGTAGGATTTTTTTTAACAAACAGACATAATACAGCAAAAAACAGTTGAAACAATCCGCGACGAGTTCCGGCGCTCCGCCGGCAAGCTCTATTCCCACTCTCGGTACCCAAGCCTGCAGTTTATGACTTATAAACATGTTATTAACAAATGCATACATGTTAGCTCTGTGGTCAGAGCGCGCGACTTTTATTTTGCCGGGCAGGGTTCGATCCCCGTCACGGCCAATTTTTTTCTTCGTTGTTAAAATTACACATAATTGCAATCATTACCTATTCATATTGGATTAAAATTGTTTTCTACAGTTTTATTGAATCTACATTTTTTAATAAAGAGAATTCGTAGTAACTATACATGTCGTTTTTGGAAAAATTTAGAAATTAATTTTAAACCAATATGAATAGGTAATTATGATAATTATATGTAATCTTAACGAATGTAAAAAAAAAAAATTGGCCGTGGCTGAGATCGAACCCTCATCGGCAAAATGAAAGTCGCGTGCTCTGACCCAGGAATGAGCGATCTTTTTCGAGTCGAAGTCCCCTTTGTTCCAACTTCATTGCTTGGAGTGCAAATCTCGCTAGTTGCTTTTTTTTTCTTTAACTTAATTTATTAATTATATTACAATATTTATCATATTTTTTTTATAACAATACTGAGTCCCATATTTGTGTCTTGTTAATGGATAAAGAATAAATATATTTCTGCCCTTTTTAATTTATTGTAGTAACAAGTGTTAGTACAATAAATTAATAAAAAAAAAATAAGTTAAAGAAAAAAAAAGCAACTGGCGAGATTTGAACCTGTGGCCAACAGAACCTGTCTGTTAAAAGACAACGGACAAATATATTGGTAGCAATTGCAGTGGGTGATATAAAACTTTAAAATCACCCAATAAATCATATGACTTTGAATTTTAAAGTCATATGATTTATGTATCAATTACTGTAAGTATTTGGATCTTACATAATTAGGATGACATCCCAAAGTACAGCTGCCGTAAATAGCTTCTTTCGATGCAAAAGAATATTTGACCTTGCAATATTACTATTATGAACAATACCCACAACAAATTATACTACAAATCCTGTATTGGCGAAAGAGTGGGGGGTCATATCTATAAAGGAACCATTTTTCTAAATTTCCAAGACAGTCTTGTTTCAACAATCATCTGAAACTTAGGTACTTTTGTGAATAATAAGTTTTCATTAATAACAAGAAATATGGAGTTTGATGAACCGGTTGCAAAAAAATCGAAAAAACGTTTTCATAATGCTCAGTGGGAGAACCAATATGGTTTAGTCCAGTTTGACAGCAATACCGCGTTTTGTGTGTTATGTGAACCACCAAAGCCTTTCATTCACTTCTTGAAAACGAACCACGAAAATCATTACCTTAATTTTCACAGTGAATTCAGCACAAAAAAGGAAAGTGATCGAATTTCACACATCAAAATGAGAAAATCGTTACTGAGTTATGAAGGGGCTGAACGCATTGATGGATCAGTAGCAACTGGGACAAGAATTTCTTTTTTGATGGCTCAAGAGATGTTACCATTTGAGCATGGTGAAGGATTGAAGACCATTGTAAAAAAATTCAATCGGGAATCGTTTAACACATGTCCCAAATTACAATAAGAAGTAGAAGAGGCAATATCCAACGTTCCATTATCCCGGAGGATAATCACCAATTGAATTCAATTAATGAGTGAGAATATTTACTCTCAAATCGATGATGATCTACAACGATGTGACTGTTTCTTTCTTCGACTCGATGAATCCACGGACATCAGCGACATAGCACAAATTATAGTTTTTATCAGGATGGTTTTCCCCGATTTATCATTAAAAGAAGAATGCTTTGGACTATTTTCATTGCATGATAGAACCACTGCTGATGAACTCTTTAAGCATTTTGAAATTCTACTAGAGTCACGCAATGTCCCTCTGGAAAAGTTGGTTTCCATAACATCTGATGGAGCTGCAACGATGACCGGAAATCAAAATGGTTTTCTAGCTAAGTGCAGAAATAATAAGAAGTTTCCTTTCTTTAACGTTTATCATTGCATCATTCATCAACAAGTATTGTGTGTTAAAACTCTTAAAATAAACGATGTGATAGATGAAGTGGTAACAATAATTAATTTTATTCGGGGACGGGCGTTAAATCACAGACGATTAAAACAGCTCATAAAAGATATGGACGAAACTAGTGATAAATCTGATGTTATTTACTATACTGAAATGCGATGGTTGAGTAAAGCAAATATGCTTCAACGATTTGCAAACTTACTTCCGATAAATCGCGAGTTTTTATTAACAAAAGAAAAAGAGGAGCAGGTCAATAAATTGCATGACTTTAAATGGCTGTCATTATCAATGTACGCAGTCGATTTAACTTTGATCATTAATTCGATTAATAAAAAACTACAAGGGAAGTGTAAGGTTGTGTGGGACCAAATTCAAGTGATTAGAGATTTCGAATTAACCTTGGTGAACATTATAAAACATTGTGAAGTGAATATTATCGATGAAAGATTGCAGCGATTAAAAAAATTGTCCGATAAGAGCTCAGAAGAACGATTCAGTGGAGAGTCGTTAATAAAAGTAACAATGCCTGTTTTAGATGAAGTCAAAAAACGTTTTAAAGATTTTAGAGATCTTGAAATTATTGCTGAAATAGCCGTTAATCCGTTTGCTATACAATTCGAACGATATGAGGACTTATCGAAACAATCAAACGACTGTTTTCAAATGCTGACTGGATTAACTTTAGTGAAATCAGTTTTGTTATTATTATCATTATATTAGCTCTTCTACTTTCATGATGAACACTCAAAAAATCTGTAATATAACTAATTTTCCCACTTTTTTACTGTTATTGCGGAATATCATTCTTTGGCTGGGCATGCATAAAGAATTCCGCTTTTACTATGTGATTTGAATCTCCCACTTCGTGGAGGAGATTTCACTTTTCTCACTTTTAGCGGAGAATTTAAGGTTACACTTATCACTCGTTGCTCGAGAAGGAGTAAGTTTCTTTATTTTCTATACTTTTTGTTGAAGGAAGTCACTGTGTGGCGTCCCTTTCTGAAAAACTGTGGGGGCTAGCGCACTCACACGAGTGAGCTGGTGACTCGCCCCACCATGTCTCCTACCTTCACGCCGTACGGCCGGCAAGGAAGCCGCTGGAAGACTATGTGGATCAGCCTTTAGTTAGTTAGAATTTATGAACTACGCAATTAACACCTTTGTATTCAATAATTACTAATTTAAATACATATATTAGTTTATGTATGGGCATTTCTCTGTAAACTGGGCAACTTGCTATAGGAAAGCTGTCTTGGCAATTTTTTTGCTTATATGTTCAATAATTGTTATTTAGGCGTTAAATATCTATCTATTTAGCATAACATGGCAAAGGAACCAAGAATATTTCTATTAGTTTAGGAAATATTGAGCTTATTCTAAAAAATCGTTACAGGGGACTGTTGTCTATATCAGGGGACTGTGTGTTGAAATGAAAAATACCATCTTAATACCAAAATGAAACATTTTTTATTTTTATTAAACTTTAAAGTTCACTAATTAAATAACTGAACAATAAAGAAGCATATAAAATCAACAGTCTTCTTATAATATTTTACTTTTAATCGAATTTTAAGTAAACCTTTGTTTCTTATCTTAGTCTTAATAGTAATTAGTACTAAGTAAAATCACATACATTAAAAATACGTTTAACTACTTTTAATCTTGAACTATAGAATCAGTCTCATTATAAAAGAAGATAATCATACAAATATCACATAAATTTCGTATATAAGCCAAGCAATGAATCAAGCATGTATCGCTTTTGTTTCCGTTCTGCTTTTCTAGTGATAAATTCTTTTTTTCCCGCTCCTTGTCTACTGTTAGAATCATCTTCGAAGAAATTTACAACTGCTTTTACACATTCTTCTGAAATGTTTTTTTTTCCTTGCCATTTGATGAGACGTTTTTCCCATTTTAATTCTCTTATAGGTTATCACACCTGCGTTTTTCATTCGCCATAACTTATATTTATCAACAATCTTTCCCGAAACTATTTTTGTTAGAAGCCTTTTTTCTTTTAGTGTTTTCATCTCTGAGAAATTATCTTGCAATTGTTGTTTCAACCCTTCACCGAAAAGTGCCCTTTTGACTCGATCTTTCCTACACTCTGGAGTATCTGCCATTTTCTGTAACTTAGTATTTGGTGTATCTTTAGTATTTTCTTTCTTCTTCAACCGCGATAGGCGTTTCTTGTACTTCAAAACTTTCTTCTTCAGAGCTTTAATTTCTTCATCTTTTTTCTTTTTTATTTTATGTCTTAGTAACTTGTTTCTATCAATTTTTATTTTAACTAATTCAGGAACTTCAGATGTTGACATTCGACATGAATTACTTGCATCAGAATCTGGAGTATTTTCTCTCATAAACGAGTTCGTAATATTTGCTAACACTTTTTTCTTATTACGATATTTCGTACAATGCTTTCGCCACTTCTTTTTTGCCTCCCGATGTTCGCGTGAAGTCATGTTTTCAACAAACTTTCTTGTTCCCTTTTCTTTTTTTTTAAGGTATTTAAGGCGTTCTTTTTCCCTAAGCTCTTCCCTTTTCTGCGGGTCGTTTTTAATACGCTCGTATCTCTTTCGCTCAGCTTCTCTTTTTCTTTGTAAAATCTCTTCCTTAGAGAGCTTTTTCTTTCTTGGCGCCATACTCTAAACAGGTGTGTTACCTAAAACAACGACAAACATAAAATAAAAAGAGTCCCCTGGATGCAGAAACAGTCCCCTGTTCTGTTGAGGAACAGGGGACTGTCACCAGGGGCCTGTTTAATTTGATTTCATCGAGAGGTAACAAAAAATGTAATTGAGCTATGTTATTTTGTTGTACACAGGTTATATTTATCTATTACAACGAAATAAAGTTTCTACGATATAAATTAATAACATAAGAAGAATCAAAAATACTCCTTACCAGAGGACTGGTGGCCGACAGGTTATGACGTGACTTCCACGGAGGGACGCCCCTGTAACACTAAATAAAATGCCATCCGAGCGGAATGGCAGCTACCGCGCCAAACTTCAGATTGTTTGCGTTCCGTTACACGCAGTAATGCTGTTGTTTAACTTTTATACTACATTCCGCGTAATTTGAAATATGGACAGGGGAACTGTTTACAAAATGTGGAGACAAACTTAAATTAACTTTTTTAATATTATGAAATTAATATTTATTAAAAATGAACAGGCCTCACGAACAATCAAATAATATTGTTTGTATAATCATACAATTTTATTGTTAACTTCCCAGTGGGAAGTTATAGTAATGGGTCCGATTTTGCGAATCGCTAATTTTGACATATCTCCACGTTTTAAGGTCCCCAGAGTTGAATACGATAGTTTTTACGTGGACGTCTGTGTGTGTGTATGTACGTATGTGCGTATGTTCGTACGTGCGTTCGGAATTATTTTTCGCCTCGATTATCTCGAGAACAAAAAATGATATCGACATGGGACCAACTGCATTCGACGCGTAATTACGTAACTTAGAACTGATTAGATTTTCAGCAAAATCGGTCCAGCCATTTTTTATGCAGAATCAAAAAACTGAAAAAATAGTGAACTACCTAAATTCTGCAATTTATAAATTATACCATTTTTTAGACAAAATTTCAAGATCATTGCAGAAATATGAATATTAAATGATTGGAATACTTGTATGGATATATGATGACAATATTTCATCGAAAAAAAAAAAAATTTAAAAAACAATATCAACAATGAAAGAATTTTAAACTCGTGTCAGGATTGAGAAAACAGCATTAAAGACGCTATAATAGTCCATAATAATTGTCAATAATATGGAATTGTGTTCATAACAACTGAACATTGTTACGAACAAGTGATTATTAATCATAATAATATTTAAATAATAAGTTTTAAATTGTTATAAACAATAAAAAAAGGGACCTTTTCTATATATATGAGTACTTTTAACGCATAATTTTTTCGTTCACTAAAAAAATGTTACCAACCGTATGCCATAAATGAAAACATACTTTTTTCGTGTATAACAATGAAATTCGTTGTAAATAATGAAAAAAAGGATCTATGAGGTACATTCGAATTCTTCTAACGCACAATTTTTTTTTTTTTTTACTGAAATAAAGTAACTAACCATATCAAATGAATAAAAACAGACTCATTTCGTTTATAACAATTCCATTTGTTATAAAAAATGGAAACGGGTTCTATTCGAATTGTTTTTTTATTTTTTCCACTGGGAAGTTGGTCGTGTGGACCTTTCGGGTCGCACCCAGACCACTGCAGAGCACTGATATTTTCAACTAGTTTTTCTTTTCATTATTTGAATCTGGAGTAAGTAAAGTGGTTTGGTGACACACCAGGGGACTCGTTTTGGAGACCTATTAAAACAATTTTGATACAATAAAGTTTATTTTCATAAATATTAAACGCTGAGTAGAGATAGATTAGGTTATTATCTTTCGTAGTTACCTAAGAAACAGATATTATGTGTAATTTTACTATACAATATTGGCCTGAGACAACGAGTTGCCCAGTTTACAGAGAAATGCCCGTATATATGTGTCAGAGAAGAGAGACCAGTATAGAAGTCCAATGCTGTGTTAGAGATCCGGACGAAGTTTCGGTCAACATGTCGGTATTTTGGGTCAACATGTCGGTAATCTCAGGTCACAACATGAAAGTTTCTGTGAACCCATCGAGCGATGGCGCTGCAATTGTTTATTTCAGCCACGCCCCTTAATCTAAGAGAGAAAAGAGATAAGATTTGTGTTCTCTTTTACTCTCATTACAAGAATCCTAAGCCAGTTTATTTTCAAGCACAAATTTTTAAATAGAAAAGGTCCAGCACTGTTCGCAACATATATAAAAGCTATAATACCAATTTGATATTCTTGTAACAGCTCAGAGGTAACGCGCTCGACTACGGAAACGTAGGTTTTGTGATCAAGCCTATCAATGTTATTTTTTTTTTTTTTTTATTTAATTAATTGTAATAATGAATTTTTTTAGGACAAATTTCATACGCAATCATACTAAAGGAGAGTACAAAATGATGTACGACCGAAGGAATTTTTTTGTAACAAATAACGATGTTTATAAGGAAAAAAAAGAGAATCCAATTATGCATGATAATAATGAGTCAAAGGCTTCGATAATGATATTACAATGTTAATAATATATTTTTAAAAAAAAAAATATTTAATAATACAACAAAATTTTTTTAAAGAATATACTTTTTTAAACAATATTGGGACTGCTCGAAAGGCCTAGAACTTGGTACCTGAAGAGAGTTTTTTAAAAATTTTTCTCGGGCAACAAAACCCCTATTGTCTCAACATCCTTAATCCCACAAACAATAGGGACTTCTCGAAGTCCTATCTATCACAGTAGATAGAAATGAGACAAGTAACAAAATAGTCTTTCCTCTGTGTTCCGTAGGGCAAGCCCACCCTACTTAAGACTTTAAATATTACTTTACCTTCCATTCCAGTAAATAGGACGATAGCTCAGGGGTAAATTCTCTGTCTACGAATCTTTTGGTGACTGGTTCGAATCTTGCCAGTTGCTATTTTTTTTATTCATTAATTAAATAAAATTTATTACATTTTTTTTTGTAGCAATACCAGTACCCTTTTCCTTTTCTGGGTAATGGATAAAAATCCCAAATTTTAAGAATTATTTTTTACTTAGTTTAAATAACAACAATGAACAACTTACAAATATATATACTATATTTCTAAATTCTGGTATTACTTGAGTAGAGAATTTACCCCTGAGCTATCGTCCTATTTACTGGAATGGAAGGTAAAGTAATATTTAAAGTCTTAAGTAGGGTGGGCTTGCCCTACGGAACACAGAGGAAAGACTATTTTGTTACTTGTCTCATTTCTATCTACTGTGATAGATAGGACTTCGAGAAGTCCCTATTGTTTGTGGGATTGAGGATGTTGGGACAATAGGGGTTTTGTTGCCCGAGAAAAATTTTTAAAAAACTATATTTTTTTCGCTCCCTACTACCCGAGAACGAAACTAAGCTCCGCCTTTCACTTCAGCTCGGCGAGATGCCGGGTTGGCGTGCCATCTTGCGGTCATTTTTATAAATGCTGACTACATTTCTTAGCTCCCATAAGGACTAAACTTGGGAGCGTGACATCCGTCCCCAATAAGATGTCAGTCAAAGGCATTTTTACAATCTTTAAAATTTAAATCTTTAAATGTATAATCTTACTGATTGTTAATCAAATTCTGTGATGCCCAGATTTTTTATCTAATGATCATTTTAAAAATAAGCTTTATTCTTTTAATCTTTTAAAATTGGTTTTTTTTTATTTTCAATCATTTAATATTCAATCAAATTATAAAAATTTTTCTTTTTTTAATGTTTATCATTTCGTTGAACAGTCAACTTAAGAAATTAGGACTGGTAAGTTATCTTGCGTCGGTATAGTAGAAAAAAAATTCAACTAGTGTCACTGTTTTCTGATAGATGACAGTAATTACACTGTTTTCAATCAAAAATTCAAAATGCTTATATGATTTTGAATTTTGAACTGTTTAATAGCAACTTTACTTACCAAAAATAAATATTAGATTGATCTTCTTGAAATGGAGCATAATTTTCTTCAAAACCAATTACTTATATCGATATTTTTTATCGTTAGAGATATACCACATCAAGTTATATTGAGTTAATTTCTTTACAATATCAATTACACAATTCAAAATAATAAAAAAATACTTTACTTTTAAATTGAATTTTTCTTCAATATATTTCCTTTTTTTGTTTCATCAATCATTTAAGTTACTGAATTACTTGCTATTTCTTCAGTTAGTTTGTGTTTTAATTGACTATCAGTAACACAGTCTTCTAGTATTATCGTAATTATAAATAAAATAAAATATATTATTTGTATCATTAATTTACGCTTAGTTTAACTTTTCTAATAAAGTTAGTTTCTTCCATCGTGTAATGAAATTTTTTAAACAGGTTTTTTTTCAATATAATTTTTATTTCAAACTCTTCTTTCATTAATGACATATTTTTTTAAAAACAAAATAAATTTTCACACAAATAAATTATATATTGAAGAGAAATAAAATTAAGATCCTATTAAATTTTTATTATTACTCAATTTAGTTCACACGACAATTAGTTTTAACACAAAAAAGTAATTTTTTGGGTAAATATTAAAACACATTTGTTATAATATCAATTTATATATAGGATGACATTGTCAGAATATTTGTAGGCAGTAGTTGAACGCACAAATATTCGACGGGAGCTGAGACAACGTGGCTCATAATTTGGAAGTGTAGAAAACCAAAGTTAGAGAGATACACGCAAATGTAAATTTTCTTAAATATAAATAAAAGTTATACTTATAACTTCAGGAATGATTTTCGAATTCTTTAATTGACCCTGATTATTTTATTTTAAAATAATTGAATTGAGTAGTGATTTATATTAAAATTTATTAATAAATTAATATTCATATTATATTTATATTTAAATTCAGGTAAATTAAGGTATTCATTAAAAATATTGATTTATTTTTATAAAAACTTAAGTAATAAAACTTTTTTTTTCGTTGCACGAAAATTGTTTATGTTTATTAAAGGAGAGAATAATACTGACAGACATTATTTTTGAAGTTTTTCAACTTTTTAATAATTCAGTTTTCAAATTTTTTTCACTTGGATTACGTTATTACGTTAACATTGAGATAAAAATGTTATTATCATTAGATTATAAGCCTAAATATACTTATTTATGTAGTAGGAATTACATGACATTACATGAGCCAGAAAGAAGACTTTTCTCTGTATAAGCATTTTGAATTTTTTTTTCTACTATACCGACGCAAGATAACTTACCAGTCCTAATTTCTTAAGTTGACTGTTCAACGAAATGATAAACATTAAAAAAGAAAAATTTTTATAATTTGATTGAATATTAAATGATTGAAAATAAAAAAAAACCAATTTTAAAAGATTAAAAGAATAAAGCTTATTTTTAAAATGATCATTAGATAAAAAATCTGGGCATCACAGAATTTGATTAACAATCAGTAAGATTATACATTTAAAGATTTAAATTTTAAAGATTGTAAAAATGCCTTTGACTGACATCT